ATCATGTTAAGAAAACAAAGTTTTAATTCTACCTATCGTTTAGTGCCATTCTCACTCTGTCAATATCCCCAAGAGAACCCATCTGTGTTGGGTAACAGTGTCACTCAGATTACACTGATATGTCTGTTAACTGAGAACCTCAGGGAGCAACAGGGAACTTTTAAGCAAGTGTGTGAAAAGGGTTGGATGTAGTATTTAGGAAATTGAAAGAGATGGTATTCTGGGCAGTTGGACTCTGCATGCTGAGAAAGTTCTGCATTGCACACCCTGGCTACCTTGCTCAAAGGAATATTACTATATTAAAACTTCCTGCATGCAAATTAACTCACCAGCTTGTTTTGTTGGTGGGTTCTGAAAGAGGTTAATTGAAAATGCTATGGCTAAATGTTATCCAGAGGGAAGCTTTTCTCTTTTTTTGGTCAGTTGATTTTAGTTATTTGGCAGCTTTTTATGCAGTGACTTAAGCTGTTTTCTACTGAAAAACCTTTTATAGGTAAATTTGGAGAGGTTTACAGTGCTTTTCTTTTTCTATTGTTCAACATCTAATTTGAGGTACACTTGACTTTCAGAGATCACATGAACTTAAGTGTCCTGTTGATTTGGTGAAAACTCTGGAAATCAGGTGTCTCCTGCTGCGCTTTCAGAGATCTCTGATTTAGGGTGTATAAATGTTGGACATTAGGTGCAGCTAATAGTGCCTCTTTGGTCTGCGGCCAGCTCAGGTGTTCGGCACGGCTGACAACAACAGCCACTCCCTATGACCACTGCGGGAGAGGGATGTGACCGGTAGGCTGAGATGCACCAGACCAGTAAAGGACCTTAGGCAACGTTGACAAAGACGAGGGAGTCTTCCTTTTGGGGGTAACACAGCTCCAAGTTTATTGGTCCACAAGACCAACCTCAACTTAAATCGGGTATGCCCCAAAAGGCAACTGAGAACAGCTTGCACGGGTATATAACAGGGGGTGGCAACACGGGGAGAGAACAATAGTGAACCAATAGGGAACCACCTGGGAGTGGTGAAGGGAATGACAATCAGGAGGGGTGTCCAATGAGGTGAGAAGGAGGGAGGGGTCCCCAGGGATCAGCCCATCACCCGAGGCCTTAGCTGGAAGGTTCTGGAAAGGAGGGAGAGGCCTCAGGGTGACAGACAAGCCCCAGGGTGGGGTCAGGGAAATGACTCAGCATAAAGTTACATAACATGGGAGGGGAAAGGGAAGACTGACAGGCGGAGGGGGAGGAGGAGAAGGAGGGATGGACCATTTAACATAAAGAGGGGAAGAGGGAGCAACCATAACATGGGGGGAACTTAAAACACACCCCAACAACTCCCCCTTTTTTATTTTAAACAAAACGAAAAACTGAAGAAAGAGTCCTTTAAAGTCCTTTTAAAATGAACTAAATTTGGGTCGGGGTAGGAATTCCTAGTCTGGATAGGTGTCAGCGAACCACGGCTGGCAGGTGGGAGCCATCTCCATCCAGGGTCCTTCTTTGGGTTCTGGAACTAGCTGGTCTTCTTCATCCCCATCAGACTCCTGGGCAGAGAAGAGGGCAGCTGGGTTCGCGGTGTGGATGGTTAACACCTTTGTGATGAGGCCAGACACTACCCATCTCAGAATCCCAAAAATAATGAGGGCTAAAATAAGAATAAATAGAATTAACAAACCAGAACGAATAATAGAGGTGGCCCAGCCCGAGATGCCCCAATTCCCCACTAAATCACTCAACCAATCCCCAGTCTCCTTCTTAATGTCTTTTATCATGTCCTGCATCTTGTTGATTGCCTTTCGGACATCCCCAGCCTTGGATGTTAAATTCATGCAGCACAAGCCCTCAAACTCCTCACAGGAATGATCATGTAGTAGGAGGAGGAAATTGATGGCCGCCCGATTTTGGAGGGTTGCCTGCCTTGTTATCTCCTCATCTAATAGGAGTCCAGCAAGCTCAGTTGATGTTAACATTGGTTTGTTTTACTACCCAGCACTCCAGGCCTGCCAATTCCCTGAAGGCATGAGCAATGGCCACCCATGGTAAAAATGCAATGGTGGCCACGCCTTTTGGGTTTGACCAATGAATAATTTCAGAGTTGCAATTTTCGTCCAGATTAGTGAGTTCTGTGTCTCTCTTTGGTCAGGCCAATCGGGAAGTCTCATTAAGTGTTTTCCAATATGCAATTTGGGTCTGGTTGGGGATAAACAAGCTCAACTGGCTGAAAGTACAAGGGCCTCCGATAAGATGAGGGGGGATGCCAGTCCAGGCCCGGGTGCCGCAAATCAAGAAGGTACCTTTAGGAAGGGCATGGGGTCGGTTGTCGGGGGTGGAAAGCATAGGGATCTTGATCACACGTTGGCACCATTCTTTTGCGTATACGCCTGATTAAACTGTTTGATCTCAATATCTGGCCGGGCCTGGGGGTCAGGGGTGACATCAAAGTGGATACAGGTAGACACGGGGGAGGATCTGAGTAAATCTAGCTCTTGGGGGTTGTCTTTCATTGTGGGGAGCAGTTTGGCCCAACTCCTCCACGCATCTAGCTGTCGGACAGTGAAGGAGCGGGTTTTCCTGCTGGGAGAGGCTGTAGGGTTTGGGAAGGTGAAGGGAAACTCATTAAGTTTATATGGGATCCTCACAAGGCAGGATAGGAAAGGGTCGGCAGCAGAGGAGGTGGACAGGCAGATGTTATCATGTCCAAGGGCTTGTGCCAACGTCTTCCAGACATTATTAGTCGGCTGGGGAACAATCCATGCAGAGCTGGGGATGGTGAGGCAGAGCAGGAAGACCAGGTGTTTGAGGTCCATGATGTTTTTAGGATGGTCTCAAAATAAATCTAAAAAGAGAAGATTAATAAGGGGTAACTTAAATTGAATTGGTCCATTGCCTTCTTCTCCAGCAGACGTTCTCGACTTGTCTGATTGGTATGGCCTGGACTGGTTTGGTGACGTAGGGGCGCACCCATTTTGCAGGCATCCATCTTAACCCTGTTGGAGTCGCAATGCACGCATACCCCCGCCCCGTAGAAATAAGTTCGTACGGTCCCTGCAATTACCAGGTCTCTGGGTCTTTTATAAGGACCGGGGGCTTCTCTTTCAGTTCCAGCTGAGGGTTGGTCTTGCAATGCCGGGTGATGGGAGGGCTCAGGTTCTCAAACGCACAATTCAGAAAATTGTGCGTGAACAATGCCTGTGCCAGCTGGATATGAGGGGACTCCGCCTTCATTGCCGCTCGTTGGTGTTCGAGGATATTCTTCAGCCTCTGGTGGGTCCTCTCAACTATGGCCTGACCTGTGGGGGAGTGGGGGATGCCAGTCGTGTGCTCCACTCCCCATTGCTGTAGGAAGCTCCTGAGCTCCTCGGATCCATATGCGGGAGCATTGTCCATTTTTAAAACCTTAAGGACTCCCAACACGGAGAAGGCATGGATGAGGTGGTTGATTACATCCTTTGCCCTCTCCCCTGCCTGGGCAGAGGCATAGACAGTGCCAGAAAAGGTGTCCACCGATACATGCACATCCCTTAGTCTACCAAATTCTGGGATCTTTGTGACGTCCATTTGCCACACCTCACAGCTATGAAGCCCTTGGGGAATGTCATGGTTTGACACTGGCACAATGCCAGTGCCCCCCATGAAAATGCAATTTCTCAACTGAATGCTGTGAAATGCGATCGAGAACAGAGCAAAGCAGGCCCAAGCTTAATAACAAGAAAAAATATTTTATTAAACTACTACCACTATGCTACTATAAAAGAGGGAAAAAAAAAAAAAGAAGAAAGAAAACACACACAATTTAAAATGAAAACCTTCCAAAGCATTCCTCCTCCCACCACCCAACTCCAACAAACCACAGTGAGACACAATCTGGACCCCAATCAGGTTTCCACCCTCCAGATAATCAACACCCAGTCCATCTGCAGGGAGAGAGAGAGTCTCTTCTGTGCCACAGACCCCCCAAGAAACACAGCTGCCACATCCTGTGCTTCCATGTCACCACATGGCACCACCCGGAGAAAAAAAGTTTGCCAGTGGTGACCCTCTCCTTTCCATGCACAGTGCTCTCACCACCAATGCATGGATGGACAGACTGCTTTTAGGATTTTTCCTTTCAAGGATGCCCTGCCAAGAGGGGAAAAAACAACAGTTCAGTTTTTCATTTTTGGGACCCACAGTCCCCACCATTTTCCCCTGGGGCCGAGGATCCAAGAACAAAGATCTTCTTCTCCTCTTTCTCTTTGAAGACAGGGGGCACCACCACAAACCTCCTTAACTTTTCTCTGTTTGCTCCACTTCTGTCTTTTCCCAGCTGAAGCATGGTGCCTTTGGCTCACCGGCATCCTCCTAAAATACAGTCTCTCTTGGAGGAGATCGGCTCAGTCTGTGGCTATCAAGAAAAAGTCCAGCCAAAAGCCACTCCATCATCTCCTCCCACCTAGAATTTCTCCTTCCAACATCCCAGGTCCCAGGCTGTCTCTCTTCCTCTCTTTCAAACCAAGGAGGAGAAAAATTTCACAAAGCTTTCATTTCTCAGGAAGGGTTAAAAGTCCCGACTCCCAGAGATGGCTTGCTGCCCAGGCTCCAGCTCCCACGGGCGGCTGGGCACCTTGTGCCCCCCCCCGCTCTTCTCCTTCCCTGCGGTGAACTGCTGATAAAACCACCGCCGTCACTTTTTCTCTCTTGGGAGAGAGAGAGACTGGGGGCAATGGAGACATCCCAGATTTTCTCCACCCTTCCATCCGCAGGGGGCCAGCCCGGTTCCAGTCCCTCCACCCTTGGGCCTACTTCCGAAGGCCACATGGCTTCTCCCCTCCCCCACCCAGCTTGTGGCCGGGCAGGGGAGAGTCCTGTACTGACCGCTGACCGCAACCCAAGAGAGCGAGTTCCCCTGGGAATTCTGCTTTTAACCCCTCTGTGTTCTCAGAGGCGTGTCTACTTTCAATTGGTCAATGTCCAAATTGACCTCTTCCTTCCAGAAAAATTCTTTTTTCCGTGTCAAACCACGACAGGGATTTGCCCCAGCACTGAGTGCAGGCATTTGATGGTTTTGGCACTGGGGACATGTGGCCACAATGGCCTTGGCCTGGTCACGGGTGAGTTGAAATTGCCGGACCAGACCAGGCGCATTCTGGTGGAACTTCTGATTGCTGACCTTGGCTTACTGGAACCGGTCAGGGAGTGGCACCATGTGTACCGGGGCTGCCAGGGCATCAGCTCTCCGATTGCCCTCAACAATGAACCCCGGCATGTCGGTGTGCGACCTGACATGCATTATGTAGAATTGTTGCTCTTGGTGGGAGACAAGATCTATCAGTCGTGAGAGCAACTCATATTGGATGGTGTTAGGCACCTCCTGCAGTATTGCATTCTCAGCTCTGGACACTACACCGGCTACATATGCTGAATCTGTAACCAAATTGAAGGGTTCCTGGAACCTCTCAAAAGCCCTGACGACAGCGGCCAACTCAGCTACTTGAGGTGATCCTTCCACCTCGGAAATGTCTGCCTCCCACTGCTGAGTCTGAGGATCCTTCCAAGTCATTACTGACTTGTGGGATGCTCCGGACGCATCTGTGAAAACTGTCAAGGCTTTCAGGGGTTGCCTACTCTGGACCCTTTTGAGTGATAATGAGAATTGAACATCCAAATTGAAAATTTTGTGGGCCGGCCGATGAATTGAAATTTGACCGGTGTAGCTGTCCAACGCAAACTGCAGGGACTCATTCTCATGGAGTAAGTGCTCTAACATCGCTTTTGTAAATTGGCCCGTGGATAATTGGATTGGAATGTGAATGATGCCAAAGTCGCACCCTGCCAACTCCCTGATGCGCAGTCGCGCTTTTTGAAGGAGGTCAGCCATCAGCTCCTGTGGCAAGGTCATTCTTTTGGACCGGTGGTGGCTGAGGAAAACCCACTCTATGATTAAGAGAGGGTCCCTCGTGCCCTGGTCCTCCTCCCTGATCTTGTCGTGCCACTGGAAAATCATCCTGTGGACGTGTGGAAATTTTCCCAGAATGATGAATTGGAAGGGCAGGTCCAGTTGGTAGCGATGGGCCTGCCTGTGGCAGACATGTAAGTTTGCACCTTTTCTAACACCTTCTGCGCCTCTGGGGTGAGGGTCCATGGGGAACTAGGCCCCTCTGCCCCTTCCAATAAATTGAAAAGGGGGGCCAGGTCCTCGGTGGTGATACCCAGCCATGGTCTTACCCAATTTAAAGACCCACACAGTTGTTGAAGGTCCGCTAGTGTCGGAATCTGTGGGTATTGATGATTCCGAGATTGTATAAAATCTCTGTCTTTCTGCCCCGTAGCCAAAGAAGAAGCCATAATTCGTCTGTGCTGGTTTCAAGGTTGTTTATTCTTGCTTATCTCTAACATGTTCTGCTGCCCTGCCGCAGGTCTGTCCTGCAGGGCAGCGTGCAGGGCTCTGCCCCTCAGTGGGATGGTACAAACATTATATACCAGAAATTACGTGTGCTATATTTACAATAATGTGCCAATATCTATCATCTACGTTGAACAGTGTGTCCCCAGCCTAAACCAATAGAAAAATGCCAACACTACAGTGAAACATGGAGGGGCATGAAGAAGGAGGAAAAGGACAAGACACACCCAATTTCCTCCATCTTGTCCCCTCTGAACCCCTAATCTAGAAACCTAAAATTTTACATTTGCACCCGTGCCACACTTAATTATTACTCATGTCAAACACTCAGAGCTTGTAATTCATCCTGTAAGATTGAAAACTCTTTTCCATGGACAGAGATCAGAGACAGTGTCACGCGGGGCTCTGTACAGGGGGCTTCCTGACCCCCTGCTGGGGTCCCAGGCCCTCCAGGGCAGCCAGAGGGAAGCCCTGGATTCCCACAAGCTGCTGCCCTGGGCAGCAGGGCTAGTGCTTTGGCCAGTGGGCCAGCAATCCTCGGAATGTATTTCTGCTGGCCTCTCAGTGCTCGCTTTGTTTTTTGTGGGGTTTGTTCAGGCGAGCAGTGTGACCCATGCAGATTCTGAACAAGTTGTCCCTGTCCATGGTGAATGCAGTCCTCAGAACCAGAGTGAAAGGTAAAGTTGTTCTTTCCCTTTCGCAGTCTCTACTACGGCTGACTGTGACAAGCTGTAGTCCCTGACTGTTTGTTTGGGTTTGACTGGAGGGGGAAGAGTTGACAGCTCTGCTTGCAGCCTAACACCAGTGCTGTTCCTAAGGGCTTGCCTTTGAAATGCTCTGTCCGGGGCATCTCTGCCAGGCACCTCTCTGACGCAAACCAATTTCTTGTCCCAGATGGGTGCAGGATATGCCATCAAAGCTGTTGCTGCAGCAGCATCCTCCGAAGAAGCCTCCTCTCTGCAGCCTGAAAACCCGAGCATGAGCAGTTTGCCCTGCTCAAGCCAGGAGAGAGAGAAGCGGTTCCTGAAGCTGCTGAGTACGTGCTGGGGATTTCTTGTCCGATCGAGCAGTGTATTCTAGTGTGTGTGCCTCAGCAAGAGCTGTAGTAGCACATGTTCCTTCTTGCTTTGGTGCTGGGAGAGGAATTTTGGACTCCCTGCAGAAGCCACCGTGGTGCTTGGATGCAGGCAGGGAGCGCTTGGGGAGTTCCTTTTGCCTTTGAGGGCAGCTGGGCTTGGGTGGGCTTTGCCTGAGCTTCCCTCTAGAGTAAAGACAAAAGCAGGGATTGTTTCGGGAGCAGCAGAAGGCTGCCACCTAGCCAATGACTCAGAGGAGGTGTGTGTGCTTGTCTGGCCAAACTGAGCAGAACAGTTGGCTTGCTAGATTCTCTTTAGACTCCTGACTTGTCACGAGTCATTGGAGACAAAAGACTTCAGAGAAATTGATTGGCTGTAGGGCTGCTTTCATACTGCTGTTGTTTCTATGACTGTACTTCTGTTATTCCTTCTACAGATTACATAGGCCCCTGCCATCTAAATCCCCACTCTAAGGGCTTTTCACATGAAAACAAAGGAAACTTGCAGCAAAGCAATCGAGGAAGCGGAAGAGATGACCAGGACCACTTCAGGATTACTTCCTCCAAATGCAGCTTGGGGCTGGACTCACAATTAAAGCCCTATACACCCTCAAGCCTGTTGGACAATTCCCTTCCTTGTCAGCCATAGAATAAGGCTCTACGTTGACTTCTGAATTGGCCATTCTTTCTTAAAGATGGAAAGTCCCTCTTAAGGGCATTCTGGTGTGTTTTGGATTTGGCAAGTGTCTTCTTCCTTGACCACCTCCAGCCTACACTGCCTTTGGAATGCTGCCCATTGGCTAGCTTGTGCCCAGCTGTGGACTTCTGGATGAGGAAGAAAGGGCAATTGCATTTCCCAGTGAAGAGCAGGGCAGCCAAAACATCCTGTGGAGATACAGGCTTTCAGCTGTGCTTTCAGAGGGTTTTGATTCCTGCTTGGTGTAGCTGGCACCTCTCCTCTGGGACTGCTCCTGCCTCCCACCTGGCCATGTATTATAGGTACGAGGCTCTGCAAGTGGAAGGAAGAAGGTGGGCACGTCTGTTGGCAGCACAGGAGAGCAGAGAGGAAATGGCCTGGCAGGACCCTGGCCAGCGAGGCAAGGCACCCGCTGGACCTGCTCTTTGTCAACAGAAAAGGACTGGTGGGTGATGGCACGGTTGGGGTTGTCTGGGGCTCAGAAATCATGAAAAGCCTCTGTGCTTGACTGGGTTTGTCCCTCTTTCTGTGTTTTCTGTTGTCCCTGTGCTCTGCGGTGCCTGCCCAGGGCTGTGTGGCTGCGTGGCACAGCTGAAGTGCAGGAGGGCCTCATTTGTCCGCCCTTTCAGGTGCCTGCTCACGGCAGCCTTTTCCATCTGCAAGCTTGATCTGGAGAGTGACTTCATCCCTGTATTTAGTCCCAGAGGCCAGGGCCTGTCATCTGCAGTCCCAGGTGGCATTGAGGGCTACCTAGTGCCTCAGGCTGGTGTGACCCTACCACCAACAACAGGAGACAGTGGTAGGTGTTTGTTTCCAAAGTCACATCCTTCAGGGGTGGTGTCCTTTGTCCAGACCAGCCCCAGACCTTAGGATCAGATGCAGGCACTGCTACTGCCGCCGCTGAAGTCAGCGAGGATTTGGTGGTTGGTTTCCATCCCAGCAGAACTGGTCACTTATGAAGCCAGGTGCTGATGGTGCCCTACAGATCTCTGAGCTGCACAGCTTTGGGGGAGCTGTCCCTTCTTGTTATTCCCCATCAGGGAAAGCTGTACATGCCAGGTGTGCATCAGCAGGGCAAACAGGGAGTGCGTGAGTCTCTTCCATCTGTGTCTGCCAAGAGTGGTGGCCTTTGAGATTAAGTGGCACAAAGTCAATTGCTTGTGGTCCTGTTGGGAAGGATAGATAAATATGATTGTCTAGCAGAAGAACCACAACAGCACAGCCAGGATGAATATCATGCCCCCTACTGGCTGGACAATAACCTTACCTACAGAGGGGTCCAAAAGCCAAATGGACTGTTCCATCTCACCCCCCAGGAATGTATGGTTCATCCCACACCTGTAACCCTCCCCTGAAGCATTAAGTGCCTGTAACCCCATTGGCCCAAGTCTTGTTCCAGCCCACCTTGAAGCCCCCCTGATAAGGGGTCTCCGAGGGGCCAGACGCCCTCTTGGAACTTCCTCCCTCCTCCTGGATCCCCCCTCTTGGAGTCCCTGCTCTTCCCCTTGTCTCTCCCCTCCCCCATCACCTCAGGCCCAGCCTAGCAGCTCGAGGCAGGACCTCTCTCCATCCCGAATAAACCTTATCTTCCAAGAGCAATCAACAGAGATCTCTCCTCTGTATCCACCCAAACCGTCCTGGAGCCCTCTAACGTCTTTACATGGTCCCTCTGTGAATATCCATGTTAGGTAATGCTGCTAAACCTGCCTGTAGCACAGCAGCAGAGGAAAAAGCCTCTCAGCTCTGCAGGTGTGATAAGCTGCCACTGATGCACAGAAAATCTGCATTTTGCCTTTATGAGGAAGAGAAGAACTGGTTTAGCAGTGAGAGAAGGAGGAATGGTTCTTCTGATCTTTCCTTCTGTCTCATACAGGCATATCTCTGTGGCTCATAGGTGTGCCCCTGACTGGCAGCAAACGGGGGAATCTCCAGAGCCATAGCCAGGCTGGGCCATGAGATGCTGGGACCAGCCGGGACCATAGCCCTGGGTGGGCTCACCAGCTAAGTGTGGGCAGACCGTGTCTTGCAGGTCGGTGCCACAGACAAAGTCCATCAGTTTTGCCTGTTTGGTGGCCAGGTCAATGAGGACGGTCTCTGCTTGGATATCCTGGTGCAGGACCCCACAGCTGCTGCAATATTGCATGGCCTCCAGCATCCGGAGGAACAGCCCTGCACCACCTCCTCCAACATGGAGCCCCCATGGCAGAAGGAAGTCAAAGAGGTTCTGAGAGTGCTCAGGGCGATCCATCACCAGCAAGAAGCTATTAGGGAGCTGCCACAAATCCAAGAGCTGAACAACACCATGGAACCCAGTGGACACCTTGTCCAGCAGCTTGATCTCCAGGAGCATGCAGATTCTGTAGGGTTGCAAAAAGACCACAAGGCCATCAGCAGGGCTGGTACCGTTCAGGGCTCTGGAAGCCCTCACCCAGCCCAGGATGTTCTGAGCCCTCCACTGAGCTCACGCCCGCTCTCCCTCCAGGTGTCCTGGTGGCTTCCACTCTCCCAGGCCTTGGCTTTCCCCACCTGTCCCTTGCTGTTTTCTGCTGTCGGCCCGAGTCACTCACCAGCTCGCCCTAATGACCGATGTGATCCCGTGACACACATTCCATGGGCACCGGTGAGCTAGTGGGAGCAGCGGGCTGAGCTCAGATCCTGACCTGCGGAGTCCCCGCTCCCTGTCCTACACCATCCCCCTGCTCCGTCCCTGCCAGCCCCACCACGCACGTCCCTGCCAGCCCCGAGTAGACGGCGCCGGGCACCGCGCTCCTGCAGGTAACCCGGCGGAATCGCTCCTGCGGGGCTCCTGCGCCTTCCCTGTGGGCGAGACGCGGCTGTCGGCGCTCGGGCCGGGGCTGGGAACGACCTCCCCGCTACGTCCCCCGAGCAGCCCGGGCCGGGCACCCCCACCCGAACGGGGCAGCGGCGGCTCGGGGCGGGCGGCCGCGCTACCGAGCGGCTGAGCTCGGTCCGGGGAAGGCGCAGCGGAGGCGGGGGTGAGGCCCTGCTACGTGTGTCCTCCGCGGGCCCCGAGAGGAGCCGTAAGCGGAGTTGGGGCCGGAGTCGTGACAGACGGAGCCGAGGCCCGGCCATGCTGCCCAAGACGCAGCTACTGATGCCCGCCCGGCAGCGCCAGCGGCAGTACGGCGAGGGCCGCCAAGGAGAAAGCGCTGCCGACTGCTCTACAGACTCGCTCCATCATTTGAGCAACACTGCTCAGTCCACAGACCATGAAACAGAAAGAGAAAAATCACCCACTTGCAAGAATGCCCAGAGTGTGCAGTGAAAAGATGAAAACAATGGACCCTTGCAAAAGTTCCCAGACCATACCACTAAATGAAAAAGCATGGATGCTTGCACAAGTTTGCAGACTGTGCCAAAAAAGGAGGATAAAAAGACACTTCCATGAGTTCTCTAATTGTACAGCAAATCGGGGGGGGGGGGGGAAAGGACATCTGCACAAATCCACAGAGTGTAAAAGAAAAAGGGAGAAAAAAGGACATGTGTATGTGTCTGCAGACCCTACAACCACAGAAATAAAAAAATGGATGCCTTCAGACACCTTGCTGGGCAAGAGACACTCCCTTTTGAGCTGAAGCTGTTGGCAGGAGCTTTACCAAAAATATGGCATCTTTATGTCAGTTTTGTTTTGGCCCAGCGAAAAATCTCTTACTTACCTGCCAGACTGTTAAAAACTTTGTGGGATGACACCAACAAGAAAGCTCTGCCAACTGCTCTATGGATTCACTCCATCATTTGATCTGTTCTGCTCAAGTCTGCAGGCCAGGAAAAAAAAAATTGAAAAAGAACCCATTTGCACACATCCCCAGTCTGTGCAAGACAAAGGGGAAAAAAAGGGTCACCTGCAGCAATCGGCCAACTGTATAAGAAGAAGGCAAAATTAAGACACCTGCACATGCCTGCACACCCTACAATTGCAGGGGAAAGAAAAGGATGCCTGCATTTGTCCACAGCCTTAACAGCATCAGGCGACAAAAAGGACTCCTTTGACAGGGCACACACTGTCCCAAAGCAACACAAAACCTGCTTGCAGTGCATAACCCGTAGCTCAAAGTATCCAAGAGAAACGCAGAACAGGCACCAAGCCCACATGCCTTGTACCTTGGCCACCAGTGCTTCTGACTAAAACTAGTTCCCTAAATTGGAATGCCTGTCATTCCTGTCTATTTACTGCATGGCTAACATGAACCAGCAAATTGTAGGGCTCACTGAAGGAAGAATGATTTTTTAGTGGGGAAAAGATGCCGAGGAACAAATGGCCCATATGTGTTTGCATAACACTGGAGCAGTGTTGATGTTGGCAATATGGCAGGGACACGTCCTCTGCACGGGGCAGTGCCCACGTCCTGTGCATGGCTGGGGGGGCCCTTGGGGCAGCCCTCACAGTGTGGGTGCACCCATGCCTGTTCTCTCCACTTCCACCAGCTCCCAGGTCAGCCCTTCTCTTGACAAAGTTCTCTGTCCCACACTGAGCTCCTGGTGCCTTTGCAAAAAACACTCCCTTTGGCTTATGGGAAACCTGCCAGGTCAGATTCCTCCATGGATGTGGGTTTGAAATCTCTGTCATGCCCACGCTGGATACATGCTGCATAGTAGTACTGCATTTTTCAGTCATTTGCTGCACTCTCATTTTTGGCCTGCAGGAGCTGAGTGAATTGATCCTGGTTTTCCTGAGCTTAGCCTTTTCTTTTCTGGGCCGTATAGCTCACTGAACCACAAACTCTACGTCTGCTGCAGACAGTTGCAAGCACCAAACAGGCAAACAATCCAAAATGCAGGTTCTGTGGAATTCTTGTCCATCATTTAATTCTAAACCTCCTCAGAATGTGCCACAGGTAGAAGCAAACAGGTGCCAGTCTCACAGGTAATAGGAGAAGGCCTCAGGTCAAGAACAGGAGTTCAGCCAATGGCTACAGGGAGCAGAGGAATTTGCAAGGCAGGTGAGTGCTGGAGATGATGGAGGCCTGCCAAGTTGCCTGCTCTTGTCTTGCTGCTGAAATCCTGAATTTCATTGTGGTAAACAGGCAAAATGAAATTAAAAGGAGGCTGATGACTTCTAGAAAAAATGTGCCTATTTGTTAAAAAACTAGAACAACAGAGGACGAGGCCTCAGGGTAAGCCTAGGGCCTGCGGGAAAAGACAGAGGTAACTGTAACAGTGCCGTGTAACAAGGTGTTTCTCCAGACACGAGGTACCCTTGAAAGACCCCGGGTGCGTCCCACCCAGGGATTTTTAAAGTCTCTTGGGGTTGCTTGCTTGGTGCGCTTTGGATCCTCTTGCAGATGGGTCCTTTTCTTGCTCACTGACAGGTCTGTAAGATGGTGCAGTCTGACCAGTTTGGAATACAGCAATCCTACTGGGTGGCTGGTTTCCCAATCGTAGTTCGAGTTGCTCTCATCACCCTTTGATGTAACTTTTCTGGAAGATTCTTACTATTGCACCTTATTACTACCCCGCATTTCTCTGTTTAGTAGCCATATACACACACTTAAATAACCGTACATTTAACTGAATAACTTATCACATTAATTATATAACACCTCATTATATTGATTAACAATCCATAATGGCTTAGTGTAATAATTAACTATTAGTAACTTTGCCTTTGAAAGTGAATTTATTTATAACAGCATCCGCTCCGTGCACTGGGACAGCCGGGCCCAGGGGCTGCTCATCGACCGCTCCCTCTTCGAGCGGGAGCTGCTCAGCCCGGGCGACGCCCAGGGCCCGGCCCCGCACACCTTCAGGGCCACGCAGTTCCGCAGCTTCGTGCGCCAGCTCCACCGCTACGGCTTCCGCAGGGTGCCGGGCCGGGCTGGCTCAGCTGCGCCGGGCGATGCCGGGGCCTGGCTCCATTACAGCAACCCCTGCTTTCGCCGCGGCCGCCCCGACCTCCTGCTCCACGTCAGGCGCCGGAGCACGCCCAACAGGCCGCGGCTGGCAGCGGGGCAGGAGGGCCGCAGGCACCCGCCCAGCTGCTTCCAGCAGCACCACCCGGAGCGGGTGGTGCCCTCCTTCCCCGCCAGGCAGCCCCCAGAATCGGTGAGATGGGCTGGGAGCTGCGGGCGCGGAGAGTGGTGGGGCTGAGGCCGTGGGCACTGCCCATGCTGGGGCTGCTCAGCACAGCTGCCCCGGCTGGCACAGGGGCTGTCCTTGGGCAAGGCAGCTGTGCCGGCAGGGCCCGGGAGCTGTGCCAGCTGTGCCGGGCTGCCGGGGCCACGGGACAGTCCCGCCGCAGCTGCGCTCACCACGGCCTGGCCCGCTCGGCTGCAGCTGGCCTGGCCGTGCGCCCTGGCTGGCGCTGCTCCTTGCCGACCCTGGGGTGCCTGGGGAGTTCTCTGTGAGTGCCTGTGAGCTGAGGACCCCCCCTGTCCCTCTGGGGCAGTGGGGAAGAAAGCTGCAGTTGGGTTTCTGGCAGTTGCCACCTCCCAGGGAAGGGCAGTGGGATAGTTTTCCCAGACAGTGGAGCAAATAGGGAAGACCTAAGTAGACAAGGAATGTCTAGTTGAACAGCCCCAGAACAAGTTGGTTGGTTTTTTTTCTTCTTTCTCCCCGTGCTTGGGAGGATGGGAGCTTTTGTCTTCCCTGACAGAAACACAGTTGCTGCCAAGGGAAACACGCCCTAAGACCAATAATGACCCAGCTTTTCCTTTGCTTCCTTTCTTCTTCCCTCCTACACAGTGCTCTCCTATCAGGACCTTGCTGCTGGCTGACCTCAGGGTTTAGAGCTGCCTCCAGGCCCTTCCAGGCAAAGTGCAGGTGCTTGGGATTCTGAGGTTTTGCTAGCATCTTCCAAGAAAGTCTTTGCCACATCTAGACTTCTTGGGGTTTCATCAGAGGAACCAGGCATGGACAAATTTCAACTCAAATGTGAGCTCACCATTCTGCTGCTTCCCATGGAGCTTAAGTGCCATCCTGAGCTCATCGTTCCTCTGATGATGGTTCCTGTAGACCATCACAGCCCTTCCATGGCCTCTCCACAGAGAAGCCTTCCGAGCAGCATTTGCCAGCCTGCAGTCCATCAGGTATGGAAAGAGTTTTTACCTTTCCTCTTCAAACAGGTCCTGATTAGTGACCATTCGAAGTGGTCTCCCACAGTGCTCTGTCATGGGGAAGTCTCAAGGGAGAATCAGGTAGAAAGTGCCAAGTTGCCTAGGAAGAGGGACCTTGAAAACAGAAGGATTCTCTGCCTGCTTTTCCTGTCCTTGCTGGGGATTTGGAGGGTTGTTCTGAGCATTTTCCAGACAGCCTCTCTGTAGGGGTACAAGGGAAGGTGAAAGATACTGCCTGAAAAGTGGTCAGTGTTAGGTGCACTCCCCTCTTTCTTTGAATGAAGCCAAACTAGGATGGTGATAGGATATTGCAGATGTTTAAGACTGTCTGCCCTGCAAATCAAGCTGTGCCGTTGAAATGAGCTCTGTGTGCTCTAGAACAGTGGGAGCTGAAGAATGCGGCCTCACCCTCAAGGTTGTTTTTAGAATCAACTCACTGTATAATTTCAGTGTGTGTGTCCGAGGATCTGGGCTCTTCCTGGGTGAATCCACTTTCTGTGGTCTTCTGTGATGAGAAACTCAATCAGCCAAATCCCAGAGCTGCTGGGAAGATGCAAAAGACTGTGATTATAAGGGGTGTGTGTGTGCCTCTATCACTTTTACAATCCATGCTTTAATCTATGTACATGTCAATTGGGATAGATATTTTGTAAGAGGAAGAAACTCACTCTTCCAATCCCCTGGGAAGTCTGAATGCATTTCTGGAACTGACGTTGCTGTGTGTTTCCTGTGATGTTTGATCCAAGGCAGCAATGGAGCTCTGCATCCCAAAGCCACATTGTGGAGCCTGACCATGGTGTTTGGATTCTTGCAGTCACCCCAGGCAGTTCAGCCCCCTGTGCTGCAGCTGGCAGTGCTGGTTTTGGAGCATAGACAGCTCCCAGCTGGCTGTGGAGTACTCCTAGGGAAGAAGAATTGTCACCAGTGGATCTGGACATGGTGCTTGAGACACTGGAGGAGATGTTTTCTCCCTCTGCCCAGGTAACTGCATTGGACAGGGATGAAAGGGGCTGGACTGAGAGCTTTTGAATGTTATTGCAGGGCTGAGAAGCAAAGGCTTCTTGAGTTCAGTTGTAAATGGACAGGGAAGGATTTGCTTGGTAAAAGAAGATTTCCTAAAGAAGAGGGAATGAAAAGGGGGATAGCCCTCAAGTCAGGATGAGAGGTGCTGGCCAGGTTTGGGTGCCCATTTTCCTGGGAAGAATCCCTCCTGCAGGGGCATTTGTGGTGAGGAAGTGGAAGCTCTGTAGGTTCTAAGAGACTTTGATGGGAAAGAAGAGAAGAGTGTTTGGAGAATTGCCACTGAAGGTAAAGTGTCCCGTGCAGGGAGGGGCATGCGAGAGGTGCCTCTGTTCCAGCAGCAGATGTGGAGATGTGGGCTCTGCCTCTTTTGGGTGGGTAGGCCAAGGCAAAGCAGGGCTGGGCTGCAGCTGCTGCTGCTGTGAGAGCCCTGCTGTGCCTGTAGGCGCTCCCACAGCCATGGGTGGGGCTGGGCTGGAGCTGCAGCTTTCCTGTCCTCTCAGTAACCTGGTGCCTGCAGTCCAGTTTCCATCCTCAGCTGGGCAGACTGGCCAGTCTTGCTGTCCATGTTGCAGAACTCAGTCCTGCCTTGCTCTTGGGCATCTCTGTGGGAAGAGATGTGTGTTCCCACGCAGTCCCTGCCAAGCTGCAGCCTGGATGAGACTGCTGTGCTCAGGGCTGTGGAGGGAGGAGCACAGCCCTGTGCCAGGAGCTGGCAGGACTCCTTCCTTAGCAGCCATTCCATGTGTTCAGTGTCACACCCATGTCCAACACTGTCAGCTTTGACAGTCTTTGGATGGTGTTTGAGGAGTCAAATCTTTTTGACTGTTGAATGGCTTTGGGGCCCAGACTTCTTGTTAGGAGCAAGGGATTAAGAGTGTGAGCCACAGAGTTGTTGGGCCAGGTGTTCTGTGTGACTGCAGAGAAGGGTTTCTTTCTATCTGTTTCTCTTTCAAGGGGAGTGTTATTGTTGCCCCTGAGTCTTCAGGAGAGGAGCCTATGGACAGAGCTGCAGCAGAGGGAGCTTTGCCTGGCACCGGGAGCTGCCGGAACAATTCCCAGGAGCCCCAGGAGCCTGGTAAGGACAGAGCCCCCACTGGTTTAGAGAGGTGTGAGACAGCTGCTCTGAGGCTGCCTCTGGCAGGAAGGGAGATGAGAAGAGCTGAGTTCTTGTCTGCAGGGTTGGTGCTTCCCGGTGCCTTCAGTTCAAATCCTGCACTGGCACAACCTCCCTGAGCCCTGCCCTCCACGCTTCTGCAGAGGCTCTGACACTGAGTCCTCTGCTGTGGCAAGAGAGCAGGGAATAAACCTGACCTTGTGGGAGTTGTGCCACCAAGTCAGGCATCCCAGTTTTGTGCTGATGTCCATGGATAAGTTTGCTGCAGGGTATCAGTGTTTTGGAGACAACACTGACTCTTGAAGCAAAAGTGGAAAACCCCAGGAAAAAGTCACTGTAGAAGTCTGAGCTTTTTATCTCCAAGCATTAAATCAATGTAGTACCAGTGTGCTGGTAGCTGTAGTGAGATACATTAAAAATACAAGCAGCAGAATCTCTGAGGCCAAACAAATCATTAGTCTTAAATCCAGTAGCTCAAGGAAGAACTGAAATTACCCCAAATTTGTGAGAACTAGAGGAGAGATCAAGCACTTTGGATCTGCATTCTTGTGCAAAGCTGCTGGAGCCTGCAGGCCTCATAGGGAGCTCTTTTCTTCCAAGCTGTGAAAAAAAGAATTCACTGCTTAGAAATTTAAGAATAAGATTTAAATAGACAGCATTTGCTGCGCTGGGGTGCTCCTGACCAACAGCCGAAGAACACCCAGTGTTTGGAGACAGTGTTATTTTTATACTGTTACGTTACTGAGATACATGCATATTCATGTGTTTCATGCCTTATTCAAACATTCTTGGGAACTTTCTGATGTTTTGGGAACTCCTTGTTTGACTTCTTCACACGCCAGCTTATCTGCATGATGTCCTGTGTGTCAGGTCAATATTTTTTATTGATAATTTTATTTCTTCTTGTGTCTCCATCCTGCTGTTTCACATCCTCTGATAAGGGTTTAGTATGTCCTCCTTAAATTTAGCATGGTATTCTCTGATTGTCCTTTGGTGCTCTGGTTTGGGTCAGGGTTATGTTATCACTTGGACAGCTTGGTCAGTGGATGGCCTTACACTGTTTTTAGTTACACAAAAAGCATTTTGTTTTCCCATGTTTTGCTAAGGTCAATAACACTATACATTCATCACACTCTTGTTTCCGTAAGTGATACATAGATGTTATATTAATTACACTACGTAGATGTTATATTAATTACACTACTATTTCTATGAGCAACAAAGTGCACACTTAAGCTGATTGATTCTATTCTATTAATGTTAAAAACAGGTTAGAAATTCTTGTAAAGTAGTTGATAGTTGTTAAGCATGCACTCTTAGTTGGGTTATGGTAAAAGGGGTTTAAAAGGGTAGTTGTAAGAAATACAGTACTCAACGTACCATATTACACCTGAGTGAAGTGCACCACCCCCCAGGCGAAAGGAGCCAGCCTGGACAGAACTATGATGGGCCAATCAAGCGCCTTAAACCTTCATGCACATGAAGGATCCAAAAAGAAACCAATCCAAAGGGACAAAAAACAGGATAAAAAGGGGGCTTCTGACCCACTGAACCTGTGCCGCTCCATCTGGGACGGCAGGGACATCGCTACATCGCTGCTGAGAAGACCCAGCGCCGGTGCTGCAGCATCCTCAACAGGAACACTCCTGCTCGCTCGCGGGCCCCCTTGCTTTAGGCCTTTTTCTTATGATAAATGCTGAAATCACTTTAGTACCGGGAATGTGCTCTCATTTTTATCATTAACAAGCAGCTAAAAAGAGTTATAATGGATGCTTTTTCTCAATACTTATAATGACGAACAACGTGCATAAGCTAATACATAAATGTGAAAGCAAATATTGTCTGGTCATTTTTCACAGAGCTGTTCATCCCAGAGCTGGTGGTTGTTTTGGAGGAGCTGTTGCTCACTGCAGAGGGCAGTTTGCAGATGGCAGGGAACGGTGCTAGTTCATAACTGCACTCCCAGAAGCCTTCAACTCCTGCCATTTCAGTGAGGACTGAGGTCTCTGTGTCAGCACAAAGAAAGAACAAGGCTGGGCTTCCTTGTGACAGCTGGGACTGTCTGTGTTTCAAGCTCTCCTGGGTGCCCTTTGCAGTGCAAGTGCTTTGAGTCTATTGGGATACTTCAAAACTTCTAAAGTTTTGAACATTTGGAAGGATTCTGGCTCTTTGAAGAGCAGGCTTCAAACTGCCAAGTGAGAGTTTGCCTCCAGGCCATCTTTGACAGTCCCTGGTAGAAGGACAGTTACTTCCAAAGGGAAAAATGCACAGAGGCCAATATTGACCCAGCATTCCCTTTGCTTCCCAGACATCCACCTGATCTACCTTGCAAGGAGGGCTGCCCTGTGGGAAGAAGGATCACAGGGGGAGCCTGTGACCATTGGGCAGGTGGAATCTCTTTGTTTATACATAGATTTATAGATTACTATAATTCTATTTATGTATTGATATAGTTACATTTATAGATGTGTGTTTATATGTGCATATATGTACATCTATATAGTTAAAATTATATATATCATTATATGTGGTAGTCTGTTATTTTACAATTTGTTCTTCTGTAGTATGTTTTAATATTCCTTGTTATAAGTTTGTAAGGGTTTGTTCTATGTACCTCATTTGGCTTCCCTAATGGTTCAGTCCTGAGCTGTTTACCACAGTTTTCCCTGCCAAAATGTATGTCAATCCACTTGTCATTCTCCCTCTATACCTCCCTTGTTCCCTTGTCTTACCCCTGTCTGTCAAAGACAGCACACTCCTTTGCTCCTGGGGTGTTCCCTTTCTTTCATCCCTTCCTCGAAGCAGAATTGGATTGTCAGGTTTGCTCCCTCCCTGTGTTGGCTTCTCTTGGGGAGCTCTTGCCCTGCACCCCTCCCCTAGTGCCCTACTATTGCTCAAAGGTTGTGTCCTCCCCGTGTTCCTTCTACCCTTTAAAAGTAGCCCCTTCAGGTTCAGATTTGTGACTTGCTCTGCCCCCCTTCAGGAATTAAATCCTTGGAGATTCAGACAAGTGTCCTTCCCTTATTCCTGTGCCTCGGTTTCCCCATGCTCTGTGCCCTGCTGCGCTCCCCACACTGCAGCGATCACCGCCCCCCGCACCAGGCTGGGCAGAGACTTGGGAGTGGCCGCTCGCGTGTGGCCCTGTGGGCACAGCGGGACAGCTGCCAGCGAGCCTCCATCCTGCTGCGAGCCAGACTCATTTATAGATGAGATAGAATTATATTTGTATGGATGTAGTTACATTTATAGATTTTGAGATTTACATTTTTATCTTTCTAGAGTAGCATATAGATGCTTACATTTACATGCCTATATTTACATGCTTACATTTAGATTAAGAAATGTGCATAGTTCTTTAGTTAGAGGTATATGGAAGTTTAGATGCATAGATTGAGCTGTGTAGGCCTAGGCTGCATTTTGACCTCTTTCCCCCCTCAGCTGCCTTTTTCACCTCTTGCTTTTCCCCCTGTGCCCGCTCTGTCCCCTCTCCCTGTGCTGGGTCCGAGCTGGGGCCGGGCCGGGTGGAGCAGCAGTTCCAGCCCAGGTGTCCCTGGAGCGGTGGGAGCTGCCGCTGGCCCCAGGCACTGTCCACTGAGGAGCTGCTGAAGGATGTTGGCACTGAGGGGCCGAGGGGGCTGAGGGGTTGGTGACGCTGAAGGGACGGTGACCCTGAGCGGCTGAGGGGTGTGGGGCAGCCGAGGCCGATGGTGGCATGAGGTGACAGGGAAGTGGCACAGGCTGAGGGCGTGGTGGGTCTAAGAGATCTAGGAGACAGAGATCACTCAGCCCCGAGGTTCGTGTGGCACAGACAGCATTCATTTCCAAGGCCATCCCTTATACAGAGCATTTGAAATTGGGATATTCTCGTTGGTCTGAACTCCATGGCCCCTTGGGATCTGGCAGTGGAATGCTTGCAGCTTCATAAGAGATCTGAGTGGGAGAAGCCCCGGTCAGTCAATCCTGGGGCTTGGTAGCAAGCTCATCTATGATATTCACTAACACCAGCCAATGGTGCCTTCTTTCTGGTCAGTTCTGTTAGGTCTTGGTTTGGTTTCAGTGATGTCAGCTTGAGATTAAAGGCATAAAAAGGGTGCAATTTTTGCAATAAAGGGATCTCCTTTGCATGCATGAGGGGGGTCCGTATTGCTTTGTTCCCCACTGCTGCATCCAAATCTGCTTTTGGGGAATGCTAATTCAATAAATAGTTGCTATACATAAACAAAGCATGGGCTATCATTCGCAAAAAAACTTAGAATTGGCTCAAGGTGTTTTGTTTTGCTTGGCAGAATACATCATGTGTGGGGTAGAGAGTTGTATCTTACGGACTGCCTTAAGATAAGACATACTGCAACCCCACAAAATCAGATCAACCAAAGCACTCCTAATCTATTAGTAATAATTAACAAAGTCTGAACTTGTATTTTCTATCTCAAGGCTTTGTATATCCATTCATCCATCCACAAATATCACTGTGATTAACTACACTGACACACAGGTTTGCATAAATATTATTTTCCCAAATACACTGGAGTATGGTAGAGCAAAAGCAAACATAGATTGCAGCGTCTAAAGACACTGCATGTGCTTAAATGTTTCCTTTGTGTTCACAGCTTTCAATTATAATTTACCTTTATAAAGGAAGGTACTCAAGGTACTATAAATAAAGGTATTAGAAGTTCCCATGAACTCCACAGATCTCAGAAAGGTCTTTGAAGGTTAGGTCTGTAAAAGGAGAGGTGTTTCATTCGGAGGTTTTGGTTGCAGAGTTTTCTGCCTGAGTATTTGCCACCTGCCACTTCTGTTTACAGTGTCTATAAAATCATTTTCAGGCTGAAAATCACAGACAACTACCTTCCAGATTTATTCATGGTTAGGCACCCATGCCAACTCCGGTTGAAGTCAATAGCAGGTTTCTGAATTGTCCTAGTTTAGGGCAAATTTGGGGAAAACTCTCTGAAAGGAGCCCCCCAGGAAACAAACCCCCACGGCCCCTCCCCACCCACCTGGTTCAGGGAAAAATTTCCTCTGAGAGAGAAGTGGAAAAGAACCTGTTTATTCAACGAACAAAGCACTCCCCAGCACCAAAACAATTAACAACACCAGATGACAACAAAACTCTTTCACCACTCTGAAGAGACGAACAAATCCAGAAAGTCTTTCCTGGGAGTGGTCGCCTGGGTCTGGATGCTGGGGATTGCTCTCCAGCACTGGGGATGGCTGCTGCAGATCACAAAATGCAGGCTCCTGGTGTTCCTTGGTGTTTCCCAGATCCCAGTCCAGAGCAGATTGGATGGTATTCAGGAAGAGGAAAGGAAAAAGCAACAGTCCAGGGAAAGAATTGGACTGCTTAGCTAACCTAACTAGGAAGCAAAGGCAAAAGCAGAAGCAAGCAAAGCAAGAAAGCAGGCAAAGCAAGCAAGCAAGCAAGCAAAGCAAAAGCCAGCCAGCCAGCCCTAGCCTTTTCAAGACAGCAGACCATGGGGGGAGGTGAACCAGATGATAACAAGTTCTGAAAGCACAGAACATAATATCAAACATAAACAGAACACACGATTGGAGCTACAAACACCATAACGTCACCCTAGGACATGAATATAGCAGGAAATGGATTAAAGCTAAAAGGTCTGCACTGCTATCACTGAAATACTAATTTGCATGTTTTCTTATTTTGGAACCAAAATATGACCATGGCTTTTAATGTTGGGTTTTTGCAGCTAAGTGTGCAGATGCAATAATCACAGAACTGAGGTCATTTGAGATTACAGAAAGGTTAAAAATTATGCATGGGAAGGTAATTACAGGAATTTCTTTGTTTGCACTCACCTTGTTTGAGACAATGAGCACAGTGTCACCTGTGCATCCCTGGATATGCCTTGAAGGTGCAATGCTTAATTTGTAATCAAAGGGGAAATGTATCTAAATTTCTTGGGATAAACAGTTACTTTGCAAATAGACTGATAGAGAAACTTAGCAATTTTTAAGGAGTAAAATCCCAAGGCAATAAGGGAAGTGTACATATGCTTTTCATTGCTTTATAGAATTTTCTTTGATACAATCTGACTTCCTTTCTCAGTTAGAAAGATAAAATATAGAGACATATCTGGGCTTTAGCTGTGTGTCTGGATATGAAGCCACATGAGGTTTTTGAAGGGCCCCACACAAGTTTTTCAGGTATTCTCTAAGCCTCCAGGTTCCCCAGCCCCAGGAGCACCAGTGGCCAGTTTTGTTGGTTTTGCATGGGTCAGTTTTTGGAGAGGAGGAAAGAAGCCAGCCGGGAAAGTGAGGCATTCTGTGAGGAGCTGCCATAAGCTTACCTTGTGCCAGGCAAAAGCAATCACTGAGTGCCTCTGAGAGCAGGTGCACTGCTAAGCCAATTAGAAAAGCTGGTGCCGCCTCTAGGACAACATTTTTAAGAGAGGAAAAAAGAGAGGAAAAGAAGCTGGCTTTCTCTCTGCCCTCCGAGGGGTGCTGCGGGGCAGCGGGGCCCCTTCCCGGCGGGCTCGGGGGCTCTTTCCCAGCAGGCCGCCGGGCCGTGAGCCGGGGCTCATCCCAGGGCCGCCAGCAGCTGCGGCCGAGGCCAGGAGCGGCCCCGGGGCCAGGACACGGGGCTGCCTGTGCCGGGAGCAGCCCCGTGACGGCGCCAGGGGAGGCCAGCACGGCCCGACCTGAGCGCGG